GGTTCTGGTTCTATGGCTACAGTTCTGGTTCTATGGTTCTGGTTCAGGTCCAAACCGGATTTGCTCATTTTTGTTCTACAAAAGGTTTGCAGAGCAAAATGAAACTGGAGATGCAACCAGACCCGACGAGTCCTAAGAGACGAGAGGAAACCGATGAGACGGACAAGATGAGCCCAAAACCAGGATTAGTTTAGAAGTTTTCCTGCCTGGTTCAGGTTCGGTTCTGACCTGGGTCAGTGTCCCTGTGAGTCCATGAGGAGAACCTGGATCCTAACGAGTCCTCTCCACCAGGATGGACGGTTCTGCTCGTTTCAGGAAGCAGGAACAGGTGGAGTTCTACCAGAAGCATAGAGTGACCTGCAGGCGTCTCCATGGAGACCTGAAAGGTTCCGGCTTAAAGCAGAGTTCAGGAATTATCTGGCGGCCATATTTGATTTCAGGCTCTTCCAGCGGGAGTTTGAATGCCATCGACTGTTCGGCTTGTTTCTTGGGACCGGTTGCATCATTTAAAGGATCCTGATGGGTCAGCAGTTCCTCCACAGGACAGCCAAACCCCAACGGAACCCATCAGAACCACGGTCCAGAACGGGACCGCCTCAGAGATGACATCACTTCCCTTCTACCGGGAGGATCCGGGTTTCCTCTGCTGTGAAGGACTAAATCATTTCTGGTTCCTGTCCCCACCAGCAGCTAGCAAACATGCACAGGAAGTGGAGGACACATTAGCCTTAGCTTGTTAGCAGAGCACTGAGATGTTGGTTCCTCCCTCCCAGGAAGCAGAGCAGCTAATTAATTAGCGCCGCTGCTTGTTAGACGCTTTGTTTGTAGCACAAGGCTTTGATACTTTCTCACCTGCGTCTAAAATATTTATTATTTTTATGTATTTATTAGAGTTTCTATGCTGTAAAGTCACTCTGATAGGAAATGTACTTTTAATCTGTGTGTTTTAGTAAAAAGATGCGTGTGACGGTTCTGCCCTAAACAGAACCAGCAGTTCTAAAGAGTCCGGTCCGGGTTCTTCTCCACCTGCCAATCATTTCCTCAGAAAAACAAAGAGGCCCCTGACCGCTAACCCTCTGGAGGCTCCGCCCCATTACTGTCCTAAACCACCTAGGGAGGGTCAGTGGAGCGCTCAGGCCTTACATAGTCTGCATCACCGCAGGCGTAACGGCGGCCTGATAATGGCGGCCTGATAACGGCGGCCCGACGTTCCTCCAAATGTAAAATCTTCTTCTGACCGACAGGAAACCAGTTTAGAAAAAAAGGTTAAATTAATTCCTAAATGGAAGGAACTCTTTGAAATAGTTTGATCTGAGCCTAAATGTTTGATCTTATGTTAACCTGAGCTGCACGGGGTATCACTGTGTTGCCATAGCAACGCCTGCTTTCCTTTCAATCCAGGCGTCTCCACAGCTGAGGGTTAGCGGTTAGCGAGCGACCACCGAGCCCAGGAACACGACCACGGAATAAAAACACTTTATTCTACTTCCTGTTTGTGGATCTGATTTCTTCCTTTAGGGACATGCAGCCGGTCCTGGTTGGACCCGCTTCTGCCCCCTGGTGTTAAAAAGCAGTAAAACATGATGCAAATAAAAACAACTTTTATTGGAAAACAGGTTTTAAAAGTTTTACACATGAAATGAAAACAGAAAAATATTTACAAGAGAACAACTTCAGGACAGGAAAGCCCGGGGCCTCAGCCTCCGGACCGGGGCCCCGGGGCCTCAGACGGAGTCGGTTCTTTTATACGCCACCATGCTGTTGACCTTGTGGATGGAGGTGGTGAAGGAGCGCAGACGCACCTCCTCTGATTGGTCGATGATCTGAGGCCCGGACTCCTCCCACTTCTCTGGAACCACCAGGTCCTTGTCTGTGTAGACCAGGAGATCAAAGGCACCTGCAGGGGAGGGGTCAGAGGTCAGAAAGGAGGCGGTTCCTCCTGAGAGGAAGGGCAGAGGAAGAGGAACTGACATGGCGTCTCCAGCAGCGGCAGGAAGGTGATGGTGGCCGTGATCTGTCTGATGACGGAGCGGATCTCGTTCTGAATCATCTTGATGGACGCCTCCCTGGGAGCACTGGGAGACATCAAACACAGCATTAAGCCCCGCCCACACACCGTCTCTGGTTCTGAACTCAGTTCATCCTTTCATCTAAATATTCACATTTTCACTCTGAGCCGACGGAGGAGCCGCCGCCGCCAGCAGACGGACTGGATGCTCGGCGCTTCGTGCCTGCATGCAGATCGCTGCAAATTAACGCCAAGTGAGACGTTTACCCTGCTACAGCTAACGGGAATTAAACCCATTCAATGGAAAACATCTTTAGGTTTTAGCTCGCTAACTGTTCCGCTAACAGAGC